ATAAGTCACAAGAGCAGCCTTCCAGCTTGCAGACACAGAGCCAGATAAAGGAGACTGGTTTTGAAGATTTGAAGGAATTTATTGTTGCGGCTCTGATGAAACAAGATGAAATTATGGATCAGAAGTTTAAAAAATCTCAACAGGAAATTAAGGAGGTGGTTCAAGAAAAGTATGACAAGGTGAAGCAAGATATACTGACAGTTTGGACTGGCTTCTCAGAAGCAGTTGTCCAGATTGATAAAAAAGTGGAAGAACTTAGTTCAGAAGTAGAATCCAAAATGAAGGAATGATTGATTATAAAATTTCTAATGTGGACAATAAAACACAAAGGATTGTAAATGAAATGACAATGATGTAATTTAGATTTATGGAGTTTGCTGTAAGATTGAGAGGCATAAAGGAAAATAACAGAGAGGATTTGAGAAGGGTCTGTGCTGATGCCTTGGCTGTGATGCTAAAGGTTAGCCCTGAAGAGATTTTGTGCAAGATTGACAAGGTTTACAGAGTGAATTCAGGGAAAGGCAATTGCCTAGAGATGTGGTGATCTACTTTATAGATAGAAGAATAAGAAATTTTGCAAAAGTCTTTTGTCTTGCAAAAGTCTTTTGTCTCTACCTTACAAGTGGATGGAAGGCAGATTGGGATTTATAAAGAGCTTCCGCCTAAGATGTTAAGAGACAGAAAGGATTTTGGATTTTTGGTGACTGAATTAAAGAAACAACAAATTCCATTTAGATGGGATGCTCCAGTTGACATAATATTGAGGTATCAAGGAGAGAGATATCAACTAAATACTGTGGAAAAAGCAGAAGAATTTTACCTCAATGTTTTAAAAATTGGCCTAACATCTCCATGTACATCTTCAGTGTTAGGAATACAGAAGGGTGATAAAGAAAAGCAATTTGAACAAGAGATTGAATTGCAGTGGAAGCAGTTGGAGATGGAGGCAATGGAAACACAAGGAGCCACAGGGGGTTATAAAGCTAAAGATCAGCGTATAACTCTTTCAGCCTACAAACAACAACAACAGCAGAGGTCTAAGTCACTATACAAGAAGGGAGTCAAGGGTAAAACACAAAAACTCGAAGCCATGGGAGGAGCCAAACCGAATATAACAAGGGGGTAAAATACCCCCTTAAGAGGAAGCAGGTTCTACAAAATCAGAAAATTTTAGACCAATATCTCTCTAGAATACGGATCATAAAATTTTTGCAAAAGTATTAGCCAACAGATTAATGCCAGTTATCTAAGAGGTGATTCATTATGATTAAGCAGGACTTATAGAAGGCAGATATATGAAAGATAATGTGAGGCAAATTACAGATTTATTGGACTATTTTGAGAGGAATAAACAGATCCCTGCAATGCTGGTGTTTTTGGATGCGGAGAAGGCCTGTGATCAAGTGAATTGAAACTTTCTATCACAAACTTTGAGAAAGATGGATTATGAGTGCGTTGAAGGGAATAGCTATAAGGCAAGAGGAATACAGAACAAGGGCATTTGCAGACGATCTGGTTGTTACCCTAACACGATTGATGGAATTAACAATTCAGATGTAAGACATTATAGAAGAAAAAACAAAGACGACCGTTGTGGTTGGATTTTGGTTATATCATACGGAATATAAATATAAAGTCACTCGGGGGGGGGGTTTATATATAGAAGTATTCTTCAATGATGGGGGCAGATGGTAATTAAAGACATTAAATATACTTTTGGAAGAAGGGATTAATCTGAGGTGATTGTTTGGATGTTACATATTATCATATATACCTGCAAGAAAGTGACGGCTTTTTGGATAAAAATTTGGTGGGTTATGTAAAATGTTTTGAGGAAAAAACTCCAATTTTCTCCTCAATTGTTTTTATTGGGTATAGTTAAGGATTTTTCACTGGGTGAAATAAAATTGATATTGTATATGGTGATAGCAGCTAGGTTATTGATTGGTTAATATTGGGAAAGGGATGTTATGTTTACTATCGAAGAATGGGCTCTGAAGGTGGCCAGTTTTTTGGTGAAGATTTCAGCATATTTAAAAGACCGGACCCAAGAGATCTATGTACGGGAGTGGAGAAATGAATGGATTATGCAGAATAAATATTAAATCAGGAAGTATCAGATAACTTTTAGCTGAACGTTGTGTAGAAATGTATAGTATATATGAGGTAGAATAGTTGTATGTTAGGAAGAAATGTATAGTACACAGGGGGTAGAGTAGATGGGCGGTAAAGTATTATATAATGTGATTTGGATTTGGATTTCACCCTGGGGAAGTCATGGGGGTAGGGGAGGGTAAGGGAGGGTTAGGGAGGGAAAGGGGGGGGAAAGGGGGGAAAATCTGTATTTGTAAAACTTTTTCAATAAAAAAATAGTATGATAAAGACTTGAAACAATACGGTTTTAATTTGGGGGAATCAGAGTTGGATCAGATAATGATTGGAAAAGATGAAAAAATGATTAAAAGACTGTATAATTATTTGTTGCAAATTAGATTGGAAGATGAGCAGGGGTGAAATGCTCCCGGTTTAGACCGGATTGCCCGATCCGGTGGTGATGGCGGCGGGTGGTTCAGAGAACCGGTAGCAAAAATTCCTGCACTCCCACCCCCCATCATGCCCAGCTGGGCCGCACGATCATCAGAGGCTTTTTTTTTACTTTTAAAAGCATTTTTTCTACATATTTGAAAGACCAATCACAAGAAAGATATATTGTGGACTGGAGAAGATGGATTGATTATATTCAAAACAAATATGGGACTAAAAAGTTTCAAATAGTATATGAATGAATATTTGGATTTAAGAAGATATGTTATTGCTTAGCTACGTAAATAGAGAGTTAAAGTGAAAAAGGGATGAAAAGAGTTTATAGATAGTTAGCATATGTTAGATTAAGATTGCTAAATGAAATACCCTGTATTTCGCTCTGGGAAGTCAGGGGGGGGAGAAGGGGGAGGGGAGGGAGGGGTAATGAGGAGGGAGGTGGGGCTCAAAACTTGGTTAAAATGTTTGTAAAAACTTTTCAATAAAAAAAAAGTTAAAAAAAAGCCTCTGATGATCACGCGGCTCAGCTGGGATCATCAGAGGCTTTTCAAAGCATTTTTTTCTGCAACCTCTTGAACGAAGAGGTGGTAAAAAAAATGCTTTGAAAAGTCTCTGGCAACTCCCAGCTGAGTTGCCTGATCGGCAGAGTGGTATTTTTTAAAATGCCTCTCTGACGATCCCAGCTGAGTTCCCTGATCGGCAGAGAGGTATTTTTTAAAATGCCTCTCTGACAATCCCAGCTGAGTTGCCTGATTGGCAGAGGCATTTCAAAGCATTAGAAAAAATGCTTTGAAAAGTTAAAAAAAAAAAAGTTGGTCACGCCCACCCATTAAACCCCCCCCAAGCCACACCCACAGAACCGGTAGCAACAAATTTTACATTTCACCCCTGATGAAGTGGTAAAAGAGACAATGATAACATGGGCGAAAAATTTTGGATATGCAATAGAATTAGAGAAATGGCAACAACTATGGGAAAGGAATTATAAATTGACAATGGCAACTGCATATAAAGAAAATCTATATAAAATGTTTTATAGGTGGCATATGCCACCAGAAATATTAGCAAAGATGTTTAAGAATAAATCAGCCAAATGTTGGAAATGTTTGCATTTGCCGGGATTATACTATCATATCTGGTGGTCATGTTTAGAAGCAAAAATTATTGGTCTAGAATACAGAAATGGTTGAAGAAATATTACATAAATCTATAGAATTAAAACCAGAGGTTTTTTAATTGGGTATTCTCCCAGAGAGATATAGTAAATAAGATGTGTATTTAACTATACATATAACAGCAGCAAGAATTGTGTTTGCACAAAATTGGAAGACAGAAAAAATTCCATCAGAAGGTGAAGTAATAAAAAAGATTTTAGACTCTGCGGAAATGAATAGATTAACTTTAAGAATAAGAAATAAAGAAGAATCAGTGTATTTCAAGACATGGGAAAGATTTTATACATGGTTAGAAAAGAAATATGAAGATAAGAGGATAGATAAATGATTTAGATAATAGAAAGTTAAACAAGGGAGAGGATACCTTTCAAAGGTAGGTGAAATGAGGACCCAGATTGTGGGGGCAATAAGATGACTTTGTATAAATATACAAAAGTATGAAGGCTATTGCTTAACGCATTGTAAGCCGCCCTGAGTCTCCGGAGAAGGGCGGAATATAAATTAAAGCAAAAAAAAAAAAAAAAGAAGAAGAAGAAAGAAATAGAAACCCAGATGACACCAGAGTAAATGAAAAAGGGGGATGGGAGGAGAGGAAACAAAAGAAGAATAAGAATAAGTGTACAATTATGATGATAATACTGAGAATAAATCTGAAAAGAAATTGAAAGAAAGTATATACTATTAGAATACAGGAGTTGTTCGGATACCAAACAAGGAGCATATTCCACAGCAAAGAAGATAGAAAGGAGAGAGGAATAGAGGGTAGGAAGAGGAGAGGGAGGGAGAGGAATGGAAGAAAGGGAAAAGGAGAGGAAGGAAGGGTAGAAGTAGGAGAGAAGGTGAGTAGGGGGAAAAGAAGAGGGGAGTGGGGGAAAGGAAGGGGAAGTAGGATGAGGTAGGAGAGGAGGGAAGAGAAAGTAGGAGAGGAGAGGAGGGAGGGAAGGGAAAGAGGAGGAGAAGAAGAAGGGTTGTTGCGAAATGAGGGAAGAAAGGGTAGAAGAGCAACTCCGAATGTAATTAAAATGCCTTATTTTAATGCTTTCTTTAAGGAAAACATGTATATGTAGGATTAATTATGAATAAGAAAATATACATTTTATATTATGTGTATAAGAAATAAAACTGAAAAACTTTTTCTTTAAAAAAAGGAAACTAAAAATATGTATTTAACATATAACAAACCCCGGTGAGTCATTTAGTTTTACTTTTCATTTCTATGAATTCTTCTAGGAAACCATGAAATGAATCAAATATTTGCTAATGAGAATTGGAATGATAATATACCTTGAATTCATTATCTTTGTCTTTGGTCCCTTTGTGAAATGGCCTGTCATATCGGAATCGCCAAATATGATTTACTTTATAAAAACTTTTGATATTATCTGGAATGCCTTCTCTTCGCAATACATCCTGGCTTTCAGGAATTGGTGTCACAGCATAGATTTGCAGATCTATATATAAAATGTTAAGTACTAAGTAAACAGAAGGGGATGCATTTGCTAGATGAAAGAAAGCAAGGTAAAATGCATAACAGTTAAACAAGCAATACTTCTTTTCTGATTTGGAATTTGCCAGAGCAGAGTATCTGGAAAACAAAAATATGAGTTTGCCTAATATTTTAGTCCCACTGTTCTCTTGTACCGTGAAAGAAAGAACTACTATTACTAAACCCCCGACCACAAACTAAGATCTTGAGAAGGGAACCTGCCAGACACATTATCCTATGTCACTCCTTCATCTTAAGAGTTCTATGCAAACTGTTTTCTTTCTGTTTTAGAATATCCATTAGGACAATATTCAATCATTAGACAAACATTTAAAGTTCAATGATATGATTACTTTTTTGTATATACTCCATTTTTTTATTTTGTAAAGTGTAAGCTACCTTGAGTTTTCATTTTAATCAAAAGGAAACATGTAATTTAACTAAATCTTTTTGTTGCTATTATTTTCTCTCTTTTCTTTTAGTCCATTTTTCTGTTAGCATGATCGTGCTGATCAATGATTATGTCCCATCAAGTAATTTTCATCTCCTAGATACCACATAGATACTCTGCATGACAATCTATCCCTAACCTGCTCTTTTGGGTTTGGTCATCCACTATTGCATCCATTGCTTCTGTAAGTCTAGTCACCTTGCTGCTGGTCATCCTCTTCTTCTCTTTCTTTCCTTGCATTATAGCCCTTTTCTGAAAAACCATGCTGATACTATATCACTATTCATGTATCTCCATTTTTTAAAAAAATATTTTTTATTCAATATTTTTCACCTTTAAAATCACAATTACACTTTTACAGCTTTCCGTTATCGGAATGTTTCCTTAATTTCAACTTATATTTCGGCTTATTATATACATGTACATTCTTATTTCTTAAGTACTTATTTATATAATATATACAATATATACATATCTACTACATACTAAATATATATTTTTTCGTTATATTATCATCTCTTAACATTCACTATACATTGATTTAAGACTTCTTTTCCAGCCAATTATACCACCCATTCCATGTCTCGTAGTATACTGTTTCCTCTCTGTCCCTTAATTCCATTGTTAATTTGTCCATTTCTGCGCATTCTAGCACCTTTTTTATAATCATTGTGTTTGATGGAGTATGTTGTTGTTTCCAATTTTGGGCATATGTAATTCTGGCTGCGGTGAGTTTATGGAGCATGAGGTATTGAATTTCTTTACTCATGCCCAATTTCTTTTATTATGCCCAAAAGGAATAGCTCTGGTTTTATGTCAATTTTTTGTTCAATAATTTCCTCCAACCACTTTTTAATTTTTAACCAATAATCTCTGGCTTTGGGACATATCCACCACATGTGGTAGTATGTCCCTTGTTGGTGGTTTCATTTCCAGCAGTTTGGTGGGCTATTAGAAAACATTTTGGCCAATCTCGCCAGGGGTAAATGTCATCTATAAAACATGTATCTCCATTTTCTTTGTAACATCATGACACAGCTTTTGCATCTGCTATTAGTATATTTAATTTCCTTTTTCCATTACTACTTTTAAAGTAAATCCAGATCTGTACAGTGGATTTTAAATGTGGATTTTACACACACTGCTCCATTTAAAGTTAAACTAGTAGACATTAACATGCATGGCTTTAAAACAATAATAGGGATACACTGTGCCTCTGCTTGAAAGATGGTTTCATCCGGTTGATTGGCATGTTGCATAGCAATGGCATGTGGAAACTCATTTAACATCCGCTGTTGAAAAGCCTCCAAACGTTCATAATCATGTCCTCGGCAAACAAATTGTTTGTTCTGCATAATGAAAGAAAATAAAGCTCTTTCTATAAATAAATGTGGACAGTTTCCTCTTGTTCTAAGATTCTTTAGCAATGTTCCTCCTTTGTAAGTCTTTCAGAGAAGAATTTTGTCTTCTATTTTCAATTACACTCCATCCCTAGCTATTAAAAATGCAGGGTAAAAAATGCCCCACCCTTTTATTTTGGAGGAGTTCTAAGACAGAAGTACTCTTGAAAACGAATTCAGGAGAAACTAAAGATGCATTAATATTAATTCCAAAAATAAAACAATATATTAGAGTACTTGCAGTTATTTGAATTTTGTTTCTTTCAAGAATAATTTTGATCTTTGTTTGTTGTATGCATAACTAGAGCCAGTTAAATATCCTTTTTGTTAGATGCATACCCCAAACAATATTTAATCAGATTTTTATTGAAAAAATTAAAAACCGAAAAGTACCAGTTTAGATGGAAAAGAACTAAATGTTTACATTTGTCTTCATATTCAAAATCCATGTGGTTGCCACAATGGCTCCCAATTAGTCATTCCATAAGAGAAGCAAACATGAATCTCACAAAACACAGACTACAATAGCAAAATGATTTTTAAGTGTAATCCTATAATGAGGGATCCCAGGTTAATATATAAACTTTGCACTTTTTTGTGTTTGACTGATAAAATCAGTGGGAAAAATAGAACACACACAGATAGTTTTTGCTTTCTGATCAAGAATGGGACTTCTGTCACTAAGCAACACAGTAGTTAAGTGGGATGCATCCAATTTTATGATATTTTTCACACTGGTCTTTAAGGGAATCCCACTTCCCCCATAGATTTTGCTTGTCAAAAGCCCCTGAGAAGGCAATCAGGAAATTCCAGGCTGCTATAACCATCATAAATACATGCCAGTTATCAAATGCCCCAATTCTGATACATGACTGCTAGGATGCTGCAATTGTTATGAATCACTCTTTTCACACCGACATAACTTTGAATAGTCATTAAATGAATGGTTATAAATCGAGGCAATCTGTAGTCTGTTTTCAGCTGTTTTCACACCAGCTCATATGAAAAAACATAACTATGATCTGAAAGAGATATTTTATTTACATTAAAATTGAGAAAGTAAATCGATTAGTAAAGCATAATTAATCATATAAAGAAATTACTCTCAAGTGATTTTTACTTATGGCCATTTACAAGAATATTCTGATGTTGCTAAATCCCACTTTTATTCCAATGCCCATTTATGAATTCTTTTTTTAAAAAAAAATCCAATAATATATGCTTCACTTGAAGTGTGATTTTTTATTTACCTTTTCTGCTACTGTAGGAACATAAAGTTGTGCAGTTATAAATAAGATTTCCACATCTTTGATGTATTGTATTTATTAAATTGTCACTGGTTATCAACCATCATGAAATCATAAAGAAAAATACTATACTTGCATGAGGAGAGTAGTTGTGATGGAAGAAAGTGTGCAAGGAAATACCAAGAGCACATATTATTTAGATACACTGAACATAAAAAGAAAATATTATATATATAGAAATTATAAAGTGTTTGTGTAAATCTTTATTGAACACAGAATGAAAATAAGTTTCTTAGCATATAGAGGTATGCTAGTCCTTAGCAACTGCCTTGGATAGTGACTGTTCATAGTTAAAACGGTAATGAAAAAGTAACTTTACAAGCAATCCTGGTATTGACAACACTGTCTGTAAAGCAAAGGAAAACTGAAGTAAGATATTAGCAGAAACACAGTTTCACTTAGCTACTGCTTCACTTAATGATTGAATTGCCAGTCCCAATTGCAGTTATTAAACAAAGACTACCTGTCAAGTTTCCGAAAGATGCCCTAATTAATTCATGAGCCATGATCCAAACTTCAAAGGAAATATAGTGATTTATTTGGAGCACCATTCCGGCAATACTCGGATGCAGTCAGGACTGACCCCCCATAGATTTACGTTCCCCTATGACCCTGTCTCTCCCCTCCCCCCTCCGTGCCATGTCATAAATCACATTCTCCAATTAACCACTTTGGCTGGCTGTGAAACCTAACACCCTCCTTCTGATTGCGATCAGAAAAATGTATGGAATTCACTTCAGGTCTCCCTCCCTCCTGTTCATGGCAACTTGAAAGCTTTGCAAGTTGACATTCGGCTCCCCTCACTTCCCGAGGGCAACCTGCACAAAGCGAAACAATTTGAGTACAGATGTAGACTTTAGGGATGTGACCCCCCACCAGGCTTGTTTGGATTTTCTGCATGAAATTTGGCTATAAGGCGATCAGTCTGGATGTTTCGACTCTTTACCCAAGATGCCTCTGATAAGGGGTAACCCTTCCACTTGATTAAATATTGGAGTTGCCTCCTGTGCCACCTCGAATTGAGGATTTGCTGCACCTCATAATGGGTCTGGCCCCCTATGACCACGGGGCCTGGGGGCTCACGGGCTAGTGGCCTCAGGGTCGATCTGACCACGGGTTTTAAGAGGCTACTATGGAATACCAGGTGTATCTTCCCTAGCAATCGGGGCAACTTCAATTGCACTCTGACTGGGTTGATTATCTTTACTATGGGGAATGGTCCTATAAATTTTGGTCCCAATTTCTTGCTAGGAAGTTTTAACCTCAAATATTTTGTAGAGAGGTAAACTTTCTCCCTCAATTGAAAAGGCCTTTGGGGAGCTTGGTGTTTGTCTGCCTGTTTCTTATAGGTTTGTGCTGCCTTAGCTAGCACTTTTTTGACATTCTCCCAGGTTGCTTTCAGTGTCGCCATCCATTCAGTCAAGCTGACTGAGGAGGGAGGCTTCCTTAGGTACTCAGGCATTGGGACAAAGTCCATGCCACTCACTATCTTAAACGGGGTTAGCCCCATGCTACTGTGAACAGCATTATTACACGCAACCTCAGCAAAAGACAGGAGGTCCGCCCAATTGGACTGCTGATAGTTCACGTAGCACCTCAGGTACTGCTCTGTCATGGCATTCAGTCTCTCCATCCCCCCCCCAATTGGTGCTCGGGTGAAACGCTGAGCTGAGGCCTTGGGATGACCCTATGGACCGTAGGAATTCTCTCCAGAATTTTGCTGTGAACTGGACACCTCAATCGGAGATGATTCTTCTGGGTACTCCATGCAGGCGGTAGATGTGTTTTAGGAACAGTTTGGACAACTGGCGGGCTGAGGGTAGCCTGCTGCACGGTATGAAATGTGCCTGTTTGGAGAATAAGTCTATTACAGTCCAGATCACTGTGTTTCCACCACTCCTTGGTAGTTCTACTATAAAGTCCATTGCAATCTCCTCTGATGGCCTTGTCAGTTCAGCTACTGGCTGCAGCAGCCCGGGAGGTCTTCCCGGTCGTTTTTTCGTCATGGCACAGATGGTACAACTTTTCACATAACCGTCTACATCTTTTCTCATGTGGGGGCCACCAAAACTTTCTTCATACTAAGTGCAGAGTCTTTAGGAAGCCAAAATGTCCCACTGGTTTAATGTCGTGGCTTCTCTTGAGGATCAGGGTGCGTAGAGTCTCTGGGACATAGAGTTTTGTTCCCTTCCATGCTAGGTCATCCCTTTTTGTTAAGAGATGTTGGTTGTCTCGGAACCAGGGGTCCGCCGATGTTTCAGTTTTGAGTCTTGTCGTTAAGTCATTTGCAGGTTGGCCTTGCTGGTCACAACGTTGCCGTCTGGTGATTACTTGACCTACTCCATGGGCAGAGGGGATGATGGCATTCAGTACCTGCTCCTGCTCACTGTTGTATTGAGGCATTCGGGAGAGGGCATCAGCCAGAAAGTTCCCCCCCCCGGGATGTGTTTCAGCTCAAAGTTGAAACGATTGAAGTATTGGGCCCACAGTACTTGCCTGGGCGACAACTTCCATGGGCTCCTGAGGGCCTCCAGGTTCTTATGGTCAGTCCAAACTTCGAACGGTTTCTGGCCTCCTTCTAGCAGGTGTCGCCAGGTCAACAGTGCCCATCTCACTGCGAACACTTCCTTTTCCCACGCCGCCCATCGTCTTTCTGTGTCGGTGAGTTTGCAGGATGTGTAGGCACAAGGTTGTAGATTCCCTTGGCTATTCTTTTGGAGTAGCATGGCCCCCACTGCCACATCGCTGGCATCTGCTTGGATGATGAAGGGTTGTTCGGGGTCAGGATGCTTTAAGACCGGTTCTGTCAGCCTCAGCTTGCCTGCTTCAGCTGCCATAAGAAACAGGGGAGGATTAGTCTGGAGCTAAGGGGGGGAAGCAGGAGTTGGTTTTGTCTTTGTAGGAGGGGCTTCGTAAGAAACGAAACTAAATTTTCAAAAGGGGATGGCTGACCAACTGTCCGACATTCCTGATGAATGACGCTGCCAGACGTGTTGCCACCTGGCCTTTGGAAGACCTTTGGATTGGATGATGATTTATAAACACGAGGGGGGGAAGAAGCTTAGTAGATGCATTTCGCGCGTTTTGCTCACTTCCAGCTTTTCCTGGGTTGTTAATCTTTTCATATTCAGTAAAAGTACCAAATTCTTCAAAATGCTTGAGTTTGGGTTTTTCTTTCCTGGATACTGAAGGAAGCATACCTGACATTAAGCTGGAAGTCACAACCAGTCATCCCGGACAAAACCCGAGGGGACTGAAAATCCAAAGTATGTCAGATCGAGGGAGTGATGAAGAAGGGAAGATGGGGGCAGCGAGTTCAACCGCCCTCCAGTCAGAAAGAGAAACTGCAGAATGGTTGGAAAAACTCCGTTTGGAGCCGGAGGAAGCTAGATGGTCCAAAGGAGTGGGGAGACTGCCGGACTGGGGGGAGAATCCCCAGGGAGTGACGACTTCCAGACCCCATAAAAGGGAGGCAGTGTGGATGCAACAGCAGAAGGAACGTCTCATGATAGATCAAGCCTTGCAGCTTATCCGTGATGTGGAAGAAAGCAGAAAAAACCGTGAGTCTTTTGAAACTCCTGTGGAGAAGGGGGAGCAGAACCCAGGGGGGAGCCCGAAGAGACAGCCAGCGGGGGAGAGGAA